GTGTACGCTGAGATTGAGTTTGGTGACATCAGTAAAACAGGGCAGGAAACATGAGGCAGATGATCAGAAAGACTGGAAACCCAATAACCAAATTGTTGATGAAATGAAAGGGCTTTGTTATTACAAATTAAACCCTCTTCTGTTGATATACATAACAATAGATTTTTGAGGATGGAGCATTCATGGAGGTAGAATAATCCTCTGAACCTGTTAACACTAGTTCAACAGTTTTTCTCAGAATTGCTGAAGAAAGTTTATTTCAATAAGTACCGTTGCTCCACTTGGCGAGATCACAAGTATTACCTAAAAAAAGTTTAGCCCTGCGATTGGCTGGCAACCAATACACGGTCTTCCCCATCTCTCGCCCAAAGTTAGCTGGGATTGACTCCATCCCCCCGTTACCCTGTGTTAACCTTCCCTGCCTGTCCGTCTCTGACCGTAGTTGGAGACTGCAGGGGAGACCTCGTTCACTGCTCCAGGGCCAAGTATTGCCTGTTGCTAATACTTCGGGGTTAATACCCTTCACTTTCCTTCCTCCTGCCGGTTAGTGAATAAAATGCCCGCTGTATGCTTTGTTTGAGGATTTATTGAACACTGAGTAACACGGTTACAGCACATGGGTCTCTCCGGTCGCTACGTCCACACACAACATTAACAAAAATTCCGCTCCTTCTCTCCCACTCTCTCGCTCGCTCACTCGCTCACCCCTGCTCCGTACGTGCTGCTCTTAAAGGGGCCGCACCATTTTACAACACCTGTATGAAGGATAAACGGTTTGACGATGGATGGATGGAATATCAACCAAAAAAATGACTATAATAGCCCACCTCTCTGCTGCTGGCTGATACTTTGGAAATTAAACAGTTTGGAGCTCCGCAGGAAATAGCTGTTGTAGTTAGCTGATCCATTTTAAGTGCTAGCTAGTTAGCTAGCTAGTCTCTGGCGCTACTGCACGCTCATCTCCCTTCAAAGCAGTCTCTTGAGCAGAGAACAGTGGGGCATATGTACCATAGATCTAGGCCTGTTGCAGATCACTAGTCTGTGTTAAGTAAAATATAACAGTCCCCCTTCATTAATTAAATAACATTGTGATGTGTGATGTGCGGATGTATGTTTCAACAATCTTCCTGTGCCTAATTTTCAGGCTCCATGGTCTACAATGAGACGGACAATGATGGGTACTGTTTCACTGGATACTGCAATGCAAGTTGTCAAATAGTAGTTAAGGTCGACAACTGTCACTCTTTTAAACAGTGTGATAATGTATCACCTCCAAAAAAGGTACTTCTTTATTTACTTTACACACATATTTAACAGTGTTTATGTTTATTTCATAAGTACTGCTCAATGTTTAAAATGCTATGATGATTTCCTTGTCATGACTAACTAATTGAATGTTCTATACAAACCAGAATCTATTCTTTTCCTTATAGAATGGTGAAGTTTGGAAGGTTAGTAACTGTGTTACAGGAAGCTGCCATGATGGCAATGTGACATATCACGATATACAGTGTCCAACTTCAAAACCTGTAGTGTGTGCAAATAATTTCCCTGCTGTTGAAGTGACGGATGAAGATGGATGTTGCCCCCACTATGAATGTCAATGTAAGTCTCACAATCTCAAATGTTGCATAGAGTATTCTACCCGGAACAATGTCTTATTTTTTGTTTTTTATTTCTATTTATACATTCAATTCAACCTTGGATATTGTTTCATTGACCAATTTAATTGGAATTCTATTTTAAAAATATTGTGTATGTGTCATATGAAGGTATCTGCTATGGTTGGGGAGACCCCCATTATGTCACCTTCGATGGAACGTACTATGATTTTCAAGGCAACTGCTCCTACTGGCTGATGAAAGAGATTTCGCCCAAATACAACTTCAGTGCTATGATTGATGACACATACTGTGGTGACGGCTTGTCCTGTCCTCAGTCTATCACCATCTTCTATCAAAGCTACAAGATCTTTATAACACAGGATGATATCAATGGCAATTTCACAAATCAGGTATTTACATTTTGCTATTAACCATTCTTTATTCAACCTTCAAAATAATTATTCGAGCAGCAGTAAGCCTGATCCTAATTCATCAATATCTTTTGTTTTGTAAAGAAATGCTAACACTTATTTCTGATGTGTATATCATATTGTATCGCTTTCTTTCTTTTTTTTAGATTTCTGTAAATGACAAGCCTGTAAGTCTTGCATACCAGAATAAAGACTTCCGTTTAATTACCACTGGCATAGAAACAGTGCTTGTCATCCCTAACATCCAAGCCAAGATCACCTTCTCAGGGCTCATTTTCGGAATCTACCTGCCCTATAGTGATTTTGGCGGCAACACTCAGGGACAGTGTGGTGAGTTCATCTGTATAAAGGAATAGCATGTTGAGTTTGAACAGCAGTTGATAAATGACATGCATAATTAATATGTCAAACAGAAAGAACCTATTGTACCTACTTGAAACATTATGCAATCAATAAATATATTATGTCTGTTCCTCTAGGCACATGCGACAACAACCGGACAGATGACTGCAGGTTGCCCAGTGGCAAAATAGATCCTTCATGTCCTGATATGGCACATGAATGGCGTGCTAATACCAGTCACTGTGAACGAGTGCCCCCGACACCAACACCTCAGCCTGATGTCTGCAATACAACTATGTGTGAGATCATTAAAAGCAGGTAAGAGGAACTGTGGCAAACAATCAGGAAATTGCTCAATTCAACTGAACCCTTCATTCAATTCAATTAATCTGCATACTGCAAAATCAAAAATCGCAAATTGGCTGCAGATCTCTTTAAAAAGGCACACGTCATCCTCTGTCCTTGGATTCCTGCATTGGAATAGCTCCACTTTAATGCCTGCAATGGCTGTTCCGGCAGTGTGTGAATGTTTGAAAAAATGGTTATCCAACATGTCCTCAATGACTAGCCCAAAATAAAATGAGCAAATAATTTACTAAACACGAGTTCAAACTTTACATCTCATCACGTTTTTGAAATACCAGACATTAGAAGTCTCTAGTATATTGTAAAACAGATGTGAAAAGGTTTTAGAATGAAATTGGCTAGCATCCGCCTTTTAGAGAATTCGGTTTGTGTGAAGTGTCCACACTGACGATAAATCCCATGTTCCCCAGTTTGTTCGAGGCTTGCCACACGAAAATCGGCTACGGCCCATTTGTTGAGGCTTGTGAGTTTGACATGTGCCACATGCACATTCAACACATTGGCTGCAGCAGCTTACAAGCGTATGCTGATGCCTGTGCTGAGGCTGGAATTTGTATTGACTGGAGGACAGCCACAGATGGAATCTGTGGTATGTAACCAGATCATGTGATGTTAAATTCAAGCACTAATACTACTACTTATCATTTCACTGACCTCAACTACTAAACATGACATTTCTTTTCATCTCTCAATAGATTATCATTGCCAGAGTCCCAAGGTGTATCGGGCCTGTGGCCCCCAGGTGGAGAGTACCTGTGAATCCTGGTACAGCAGTTGCAGTCAATCCATTTCCATCCATTCATGCTTTGACTGACATACATCAAGGTGTGGCCTTTACATAATATGCTGTTGTGTCTGCAGGTACAACAATAAATTCATCTTCGCAGTCAGTGAGTTCTCTAAAATGACAGAAATGGAGCTGGAGGGTTGCTTCTGCCCAAATGGAACCCGCCTCCTCTCTTCCACCAGTAATGAATGCGTGCCCAGCTGCGGTAAGAGCCGATAGCAAAATACACGGCAACAGCTATGTGGAATTTAAGCATGTGCAGCACTTTTTGATGGCTTTTGTATGGATAGTGTTAGTATAATGCAGTGATGAGTGTAGAGGTCAGAGGAACTGCTAGCTTTCCATTCTGTGGTGCACTGAAATAGAATGTGCGTTCACACGCAGTGCAGTCAACTGTCAAATCAATTAGTTAAACTGCACACTTCTGCTTAGCTTATTTCGTCCAGTATGTATATGTATATTTAGCTAAAAGTGACCTGTAAGGATTTAGGTAAGTGGAGACACTAACTACTTTATGCTTTATATTTTCCTCTTGATAGAAATTTGTCAGCTGGCAAATGGAACATGGAAATTGGTAAGTAATTTGTCTGCAATTCTAGTACCTTTCGATGTAACCGTTTTTACAGGCCAGAAAAGAAGTCATCATTCTGCAATAATCATTGTGTCCTCAGCCCAATTCAATATGGACAGAAGGCTGCCAGGAATGTACATGTGAGGAGGACACATTTCACGTGGTTTGCCGTAACATCTCCTGTCCTGCACAGCCACCACTTAGCTGTGACCAAGAGGGTCAGGTCATGGTCACTGACACCGTTGGCTGCTGTGAAGAGAAGAAGTGTGGTAAGTGAGCACTAGGAAGGGGAGCAATGCATTCTACATCTATTAAATACAGCATATTTATAATTCCAACACAGTCGGTGTGTTATCCATTCATTTTTAACAGGAGGAGTCTTAAGCTTATCTCAGCATGCATGAGTGAAACATCCAGAGCTACTGAGAATCATTTATTCAAATCCATATCCATACGAGTTAAGATGAAATAAATAAAGGAATTTGCACTGCTTTAATTGATATACATCACAGTCACATTCTATAGTCACAATCAGATTATCTTTGTAAAACAAGATGTATAGCTTCCGCCCAATATCCAATAATTTCATGACCTCCATCAACCAATGGATCTGCAACTTTTACCAACATGGTAGTTGTTGGTTTCAGCGGACACAGTCCTCTGTAGCTCCTCATTGCGCGACATTCTAAGCCTCCCAACAAAGTCCATTCGATCGAAGATTTGATCTAAATACCGCCTGTTACTTCCATTTCACTAGGACTTCAACTTCTAGTGTCAGACAGTGTAAAAGGAAAGCTGTTATGAAAGCAGCTGGGGTTCTGATGCATGAACAACCTATGGCACGAACAAATCCTGGGATGTATGTTCAGCACAGTTATTGTAAAGCGATGACCACAACATAACACCTTTTTTTTGTCCGTAGTAAAAATGAAGGCACTCTTTACCATTCCTCAGTGAAAGAGCTACTGCACTGTTCTTATTAACTCTTTTGAATATTCCCTCCTTCATCCAACAGTTTGTAATGTGACGACGTGTCCAGATATGCCAATTTGTCCTGTCGGTTATACTGTGGAACTCACTACGGGAACCTGCTTTCCCAATGCTGCCTGCGGTGAGTGTACCATGCGTGTGCATGTTACTGGAACTGAATAGCAAGGGTCATTGTTGCCACTGATTGTTGCATCACATTCTAAATATATTAGTTGTTCTCTTTCTTTCACAGTCATTCAAAAGGATGTGTGTGTCTTCCAAAACAATGTTTATCAGGTGAGACCTTGCATCTCTATATGAAACTGATGTAAAGTGATGGTAATTCAGCTTTAAAGAAAAGGGACATATGAACACACACTCAGTGTATACTTTTAAAGGTATTTGCTTAACTATATGTGCTGCTAAAGTAGTTGTAGTTTGCAGTGGTGGTGGACTGTGGACTGCATTATATTGTGTGCATCCCTTCTGAGCTTCTCACCCTGTCTGTCCAGGTTGGAGACGTGGTGCCCATGAAGAAGCCATGCGACAACTGCATTTGTAGTAAAAATACAGATGTCAGCAGCGGTTTTAACATAGTGGAATGTCAGCCGACGCCATGTGACACACACTGCCCTCTGGTAAAATGGGTTTCTCTCAGTACTTCTCCTCCCTATTTCACTCAGAAACACACATTTAGTGAGTTTATTCAAGTTTAACAACAACCTATTCAACAATTTCACAAGTTTGTTCTAGCATACTCTCACTTTATGAGTCCGTTGATGAGAACATTCTTTCAAATTTGTTGATTTCTTTTCAACATTAAAAGCTAAAACAGGTATCGTGTATGTAGCTTGTACTTTAGTCCATTTTAACTGACCTCATATGCTGATTTCATTCCTGCTGGAAATGTGCCAATCACAGCACAACAACGATAACACCAAATACCAATTGAAAATACATTCAATTGAGCAAAATATTTGGTCACAAAATAACACATTTAACAAGGCACTACTTTACAAGGTCCAATTGGGCATCTAACAGTGAAATATGTGTTGCTGAGTATAACTGTCAGTTAAGGGAGTGTAAAGCTGATTTAAAGAAACCTTCTACAATTCAACAGAGCTGAGCCTCCATCAGAATATCTTCAGGAAAAAGTCAGAGCGAAATCAAATCTTGCTTCAGTTCACCATTTCATAAGTGTCCCTTAAGACCTACACACATGATCTGAATGTTTAAAGGTCAATTGTGGTTTGTGCTAAAGCACTAGTGCATGTACACAAATTGGATCTTACAAATGGAATTAAAAGAAAATATGAGCTATACTGTAAACTCAAAAGTAACCAATACTCCATCCTGAATCCCAAAGGAAAAATCTCCCAGAGCTAGTGCTGGTTTTCCACTTTTACATTTTGTTCTTTTGCTAAGTTTGTCCTTTCGTCTCTGTTCAGGGTTATGACTATCAGACGGTTGCTGGTCAGTGCTGTGGGAAGTGTCTCCAAACAAGCTGCGTTGTCGTGCTTTCAAACGTAACGAAGACATTGCAGGTTGGTATATGCGTGCATAACAGTGTGAGAGAGCAAAAGGGATTGGATTGCTTACATCTATAATTTCAAGAGTCTAACAACTGTCTTTTAAATTCAATAATTATGCTATTGTTTTTTTTACATTTTTGATTGTTCAGCATAACATAATAATAATAATCCTATAAATTTTCAAAATAAGTTGTTTTATTTATGCATGGTCTAGTTTTGAAAAAATCTCTAAAGCAGGGGCAGACAAGCTCAGAGTCAAAGGCAGTGAAAGTCAGCTCAGGAACAATCCATAAATGTTCACAAGGAGATGTTAGTGGCTCTGATCCAACATTTTGTTTTGCTATTCTTCAGCCTGGCACCATTTGGACTCCTGCTGACAACTCCTGTGTGAGGTTTGAGTGTGTGAAGATCGCTACTCAGTTTGTCACTGTAGAGGCCAAGACCGTGTGTCCTCCCTATGACCCTGAAGAATGCATATCGGTGATTGCACACACACACACACACACACACACAATCATTATTGTTACTCTGACACGTTTAAGACAAGATGGTAGAACACACTGCTAGCCACAGTCTAACGTGAATCTGAAAGAACATGAACTACAGAATACTGATGTGAATGTGTGTGTGTCCTGCAGGGAACAGAGATGATAGCTCCGGACGGATGCTGCCCCCTCTGTATGTATTGCTTCCATGAGTTTCTTTTTACCCGCATATTATTTACATTTACATTTTTTGGTGTGTTGCCAGGTTGTGTAGAGGTTTCTTCATTTGCTTGCGTCTTTATGGAGCACACAGGTGTTTTTATCTGTAAATGAGCTGTACACCCCCCTCAACATTTTTCTCTTGGCTGCCTCAGGTATTCTAAAGGGTAATGCATGCAACATGTCCACCACTACGATGTATCTGGAGAGCCAGGGCTGCAAGTCCAAAGAACCGGTCAATGTGACGTCCTGTAGTGGAGCTTGTGGCACCATCACTTTGTGAGTTCCCCTCATGTCTTTCTCTCTGGGAAATTTTGTAGTATTGTGTTTCAATTGTTCACGTTGCAGGTGCATTTACATAGCATTGGGGAAACTTTATGAGACAGAATTAGTACACAAAACTAAAGTAGATAAAAGAATGGTTGTTAACAGTGCAGCACTGGCCTGAGTCATCGTGACTTTTAGTCAAGGATTTATCAATTTCATTAGGACAACAGGTTGTTGCCTTCCCTGTGCTACACACAAACACTTTAAACAATTACATATAAATCATAAAACTAGATGGGACACAATTTACATCAATGCAGGCAGTAATACTGTTCTTTATTTGTAAAAGTGTTGGGGAATTGGAAATTACTAAAGTGAAACTATAGTCAGTTATGTATAAACGCATTTTCAATCATATAATGACGATATTGAGGAACATAGATAGGATAAGTGCCGCTCTCCTTTTTCCCTTTTTTCACAATGTCATTTTTCTTCGGTCAGCTACTCTCCCACAATGAGATCCTTGCAGCACACCTGTTCCCTGCTGCCCGGAGTGGCTACATCGGAGCGGATAGTCCAGCTCTCCTGCCCCGACAACACCGGAGATCAGCTTTCCCTACATCCCACATTGACAACTGCCAGTGCCTCAAGACAGAATGCTCTGTGCCAGGCCCCAGTACAATGGCAAGCACCAACGTCAAATCACGTCGACGCAGGAGATGAGGCAAAAACCAAGACAAGCATTTGCTTTGGCCAATTATGCAATGAGCATGAATTAATAGGGCCATAAATGTAGTAATCCAATCACAAAACATTGTATGCATCCATAATTCCTGTATTTATAACTGATTTATTAACATGCATTTTAGCTTGATAAGATCATAATATCTTATTAATAAAGATTATGCTGTAGCTGAAGCTGGACATGTCTGCTTGATTTCTTTCAGAACTTTGAGTTAAAAATTGTTTTAAAAAAGGCCAATTGTTCAAATGGCGACGTGGAGGATGTTGGGGAGTTGAGAAGTTATTACAACAATTGTACATTCTGTCCCGGGAGAGTGGCGGAAGTAGGACCCAAACATAGACTTGTTTTCAAGACACAATAACACTAATCAATAACACAGGTTGCAGGAAAAACATCCCCATACAATCAACAGACAAACATTGTTTAAATACACTGGGAAGGTGCAGATGATTCAACCCAGGAGGAAAAAATCAGGGACGCATCAGACTCTGGCCCTTTCTCAATACCTAAGACGGGACGAGAATAGCAATGGGAACAGCAGCTGACTTCAGCTGGTCTTGCTAATACATTTTAATACAGTTCTTAATAATAATACATTGTATTTATAGCGCACTCTTCATCATCAGCTCTCAGAGTGCTACAGAGATGGAAAAACTTAGTTAAAAAAGTAAAAGCTAGTAAAAACATAGGGGAAGAAAAAAAGACCTTTAGATTGAGTAAAAAAAACACGTTCTTAAATAAAAAGGTTTTCGGGCCAGTTTTAAAAGAGTCCAGTGTAGTTTGTGGGGCTGCTGAACTTTACTGGATTACACAGGTGTATTACATTACATGTCATTTAGCTGATGCTTTTATCCAAAGCGACTTACAATAAGTGCATTCAACCATAGGGATACAAACTCAAGCCCATTTGCTATAGATAAGTGGCGATATAAGCAGGGGTGCACATAACTGGTACGCAGGTACGCATGCGCGACGTAAATCAACAATGCGCAATGCCACTTGTGTTACTTTGCGCCTTTGCGTACTCGCCCGATCATCTTATTAAATCTGTCAGAGATGTCCAAAAATCAACAGATCTTAAGCAGCTTCTTTGGCGTTTCGCCACCTACAAAGAAACGGCAACTGGAGCCAGAGCCGAAGAAAAGACTCTTTTCGGAAAAGTGTCTCCAAGATGTGCAGTGGCTTGAAGCGAACGATGAGTGCACTGAAATGTGGTGCAAGATTTGCCGCTCACATCCACATCTAGCGAAACAGGGTCAAAGAATTTCAACCATCCTTTATTTGACAAACATGAAAAGAGCAAGGAGCATGTGAATGTGGCGCAAGCCATCGCTAATAAACAAGCTAGCCGAGAAGAAATGTCCAGTCGCCCACTTGGCAGATGGCGAGACAGCCATGACAGAGCTGACAGAGACAAGACAAACTTACTCAGGGGGTTAATTGAAGAGTTTGAAATGAGATATAACTCCCTCAAGTCATGTGATCATTTCTTAGTATTTCTTAGTACATGGCTTAAGCAAATGCAAGACCTCTATAGTTTTGGAAACACAACGGTTTGCAACATTCTCAAGAAATATGAGGCCACCTTACTACTTGACAAAGACACCACTGTGACAGAATGGATGCGCTTAAAGCAGGCAGGAAAACGCCTGGGAACTTCTTCTGTGTATGACTTGGTCCAAATAGTAAATACAAGTAACCCAGAAGCTTACTCCAACATCAACAAGGTGGTTAAGTTGTCTCTTACACTGCCTTTAAGCAGTGCAGCTTGTGAGAGAGGATTCTCACATCTCAACATAATAAAAAACAAACTAAAGACACACCTCTTAAGACTCTATCTCGACTAAAAACTAATTGTAGCACTTAAATTGTACTTGTAACGTCACTCATCTACAGCAAATTGTAAATTGGCTTATTTGAGGAAATTGTACTTTCTTGTTTCTTGTTCTCCTGAGTTTGTACCCTATGGTTGAATGCACTTATTGTACGTCGCTTTGAATAAAAGCGTCCGCTAAATGACATGTAATGTAATGCGACACTGAGGACAGTGAGGAAGACTGCACTTATTAAGACCACGCTACATATGGAGTGAGTACCAAACACCATCTCCCGGTACTCACCTGAGTAACTCACTGAAAAGGTTATGTGTACCCCTGGTTACAAGTACAATTTAAGTGCTACAATTTGTTAGTCTTTTAGTCAAGGTGTCGAGGAGTCTGAAGAGGTGTGTGTTTAGTTTCGGCCGAAGATGTGAAGGCTCTCTGCGGTCCTGATGTCATCAGAGAGCTCGTTCCACCATTTCGGAGCAGGACAGATAAGAGTCGTCATCTAGTCGAGTGTTTTGCTCTCAGTGAGGGAGGGACAAGCAGTTTTGCAGATGCAGAGCGGAGAGTGCGGGTCGGGATGTAGGGTTTGACTGGATGTAAGCTGGACCCGATCCATTCACAGCATGGTACGTGAGCAACAATGTTTTGAACTGGATGCGGGCAACCACCGGTAGCCAGTGAAGAGAGCGGAGGAGAGTAATGTGGGAGAATTTCGGAAGGTTAAAGACCAGTCGAGCTGCTGCATTCTGGATGAGCTACAGAGGTCAAATGGCGGTAGCAGCGAGACCTGCAGGAGGGAGTTACAGTAGTCCAGGCGGGAGATGACAAGAGCCTGAATCAGTACCTGCGCCGCCTTCTGAGTGAGAAGGGGGCGTATTCTCCTGATGTTGTAGAGCGTGCATCTACAGGATTGTGTTGTTGCAGTGATGTTGGGAGTCAGGGTGAGTTGGCTGTCAAGTGTCATGTTGAGGTTCCTAGCAGTTGAAGTGAGCGTTAACACAGAGTTGACCGTCAAGTCCTGGGTCTGAGAATCTTTTCCCAGAAAGAGAAGTAGTTCAGTCTTGTCGGGGTTGATTTTCAGATGGTGAGCGGACATCCACTGAGAGATGTCAGTCAGACAGGCAGAGATCCGTGCCGCCACCTGGGTGTCCGAGTGAGGGAAGGAGAGAAGTAGTTGGGTGTCATCAGCATAGCTGTGGTAAGAGAAGCCATGCGAGCGAATGACAACGCCGAGAGAGTTGGTGTAGAGCGAGAAGGGGATGGGACCCAGGATGGAACCGTGAGGAACTCCAGTAGTAAGAGGACAAGGTTCCGACACAGATCCTCTCTAGGTTACCCGGTAGGTGCGGCCGTCGAGGTAGGACGAGAGCAGAGCCTGTGACACCAAGTTCCTGAAGGGAGGAAATAAGACTCTGGTGGTTGACTGTGTCAAATGCAGCAGAGAGGTCCAGAAGGATGAGGACAGAGGAGAGAGAGGCGGCTCTAGCAGTGTGGCGTTGTTCTGAGACAGAAAGGAGAGCAGTCTCTGTGGAATGGCCTTGAAGCCTGACTGGTGGGGGTCCAGGAGGTTGTTACAGTGGAGATAGCAGAGTTGGTTAACGAGTGTACGTTCAAAGAGTATTCGACGAACAGTGGAAGAAGAGATGCGATCTGTAGTCATTTTCTGGGTGAAGGGTAGGTTTCTTCAGGAGTGGGTTAACTCCTGCTTCCTTCAGAGAATTGGGAAAGCAGCCAGATAACAGAGCATTGTTGATGAGACAGGTGAGGAAAGGAGTGATGGTTCAGGAGCGATAGATTTTAGAATATGTGATGGAATGGGGTCAAGAGGGCAGGTGGTCAGACGGGCAGAGGTTACTAGGGTAAGAATTTGGGTAGGAGACAGGGGGGTGAAGGAGGAAAGTGAGGGTGATAGAGGTGGGACACAAGTAGTAGGAGGTGGGTTTGAAAGTGGAACGTATGTCAGATTGTTTATATTTACGCTACGTACCTCCTTTCCGTTGCTCGCATGGTGGCTCTCATGGCACGCACCAGTTGAGACAGCCACGGAGCCGGAGGGGATTTGCCAGTCCGTCGTGTCGTAAGAGGGCAGAGAGTCTAGAGAGGAGGAAAAGAGTTGAGAGGAGAGTCTCAGCAGCAGCGTTCGGATGCAAGAGTGAGAAGGAGTCAGTTGAAGGGAGAGCAGATTGAACAGAGGATGCCAGAGAGGGAGAGAATATTGCGACGAACAGGTACAGAGTCAGTTGATGCGGTCGTTAGTTATAGAGAGTGGGAGAGAGTAGGAGATGAAGAAGTGGTCAGACACATAAAGTGGAGTTACAGAGATGTTAGTGGTAGAGCAGTTTCTAGTGAAGATGTAGTCAAGGTGATTGCCAGCTTTGTGAGTAGGGGGAGAGTAACTGAGTGACAGAGCGAAAGAAGAAAGTAGGTGTAAGAGGTCAGATGACTTCTCTGTCTGGATGTTGAAGTCACCCAGGAGGATTAGCAGAAGGCCATTTTCAGGGAAATTGGACATGACCAGTTCATGTCCAGTTCTTCCAAGAAATGACCCAAGTAGCCTGGCGAACGGTAAAGGACAACGATATTTAATTTTACCGAATGAGTAACTTTTACAGCATGGAATTCGAAAGACAGTGGGGTGGACGGGTGTAGAGGGTAGAGAGAAAAGCTCCATTTGGGTGAAATGAGTAAACCGGTGTTGCCACCCCTACCAGTGGGCCTGGGTGGGTGGCTGAAGGAGAAGGCAGAGGAGAGAGCGGCTGGGGTGGATGTGTTCTCCTCAGGTGATCCAGGTCTCTGTGAGACTCTGCTGGATAGCAAAGCCGGAGATGAAGTCTGCCTTGCGAGTAACTGACTGTCAGTTCCAGAGGCCTCCTGTGACGAGGTGCTGGACGTGTGTGGAGTGGGTGGGATAGGTGAGAGAGAAAAGGTTACGATAGAGTGCAGATCTAGCCCGAGGCCTGTAGTATCTGCGGGAAGAGAGGTACAGGTAAAGGGCTCAAACACATTATTAAAAATAGCAGAAGGAGCCGTTTTCAGCCACCCCGAAGACTCCACGAAAGACTCCTTTGGCTTTGTTCAGCTCGTCTTGACTCCCACGAAAGACTCCTTTGTCTTTGTTCAGCTCGTCTTGACTCCCACGAAAGACTCCTTTGTCTTCGTCCTGCTCATCTTCATGCTAGGAGGTTATGCAAACGCTGAAGCTCACCCTCAATTTTCACCAACTCCGGAACGGCTGCGTAACGGCTCCGGCACGGCGGCGGAATCAAAAGGTTTCCATTAAAGTCAATGTGTGTATTTCCACTGACTGCGGGACGGCTGCGTTCCGACTCCGGCGATCCGCAGCCCTTCGGA